ACAGCATATGTTGGACGTGATACTGATGTTATGAAGAGGAGCGATTTTTCAACTAAATTGAAATACTTGCCTGCCATGGAGGCGGTGGATATAGGCTAAGCAACTAAGCCTGATTGCAAACAAGCTTTTTTTTAAAATATAAACTGCACATATAATATCTTATTTACATTGTGTCTACGTGTAGCGTTTGGCATTGAGTGAATTCTGATTGTCTTATGGTGAATGCGTGAGAGTTGGCAGTCCTGTATCTATTTATATTTCATCATTAATATCTTAATATGTTATTATCTTTTATATCAACTATTTGCACACAGGAGCATTATCCGACTCGGCTCCTCCCGACCGCAGACGCAGGTTTGACCGATTTAAGCATCCACAAACAACGCAAAACATAGGCATTTTGAGTTTCTGCAAGCAATTAGAAAAAAAAATCACTTCCTGTATTTCGCGCCACAGCAATGACGTCATGTGCAAACAACCCCCAGAATCCCCTCCAATCCACGATTAAAACGAGGGAACTTAATTCGTAGCCATGATTAAACTGAAACTAGAGAACAAATAAATAAGTAGTGGGAAGAAATTCTTAATTTGTGGCCACGATATATATTTTCCCGCATGTCATGTCTCCTAAATTATAGTACATTATATATTTTCGAACGTTCAAAACCACAAAAAACAAACAAACAAAAAATGATAAAAGTGTAGGAGTTTGCTCCACTGGATATTGCTGTCAGTCATTTAACATTTATATCGTAAAACGTCAAATATTAAACGTTTAGCTACGGAACCTAACGTTACATCTTACCTTCACCGTGACAGGAATTCAAACCGTAAACACACTGTAAAATCCAATAGTTTACCTTACTTAGATATAATTAGTTATCTTTACTTAGTTGTTATACTTACTCGGTTTTATTAAGTAACAGCTAATTTTTAGGCGAATAAAACAACTTACTTGCTGCAATGAGTAACTCTTACTTAAAATATTCAAGTAGCCGCAACAAAACCGATGACATTAATACACCAGGGGGAGGCAGCAGTGCGCTAATGTGTTGCTAATGTGCAACAAAACAACAGAAGAAGAAATACGGAAGGTTAGAGAGCATGCGCAACAAGCAACGTTTTTTGAATTTGTGCGCCGAATTTGCTGAGACTGCTTGCATTTTTACCACTGGACAAAGACTGATTACTTCTATACAATAATAATAATAAGGTAAGTTTCAAAAAAGGAACTTGCCTTTAACTGAATAATTATTTGTCATATTTAGGACAAGTGCTTGTCTTGTGAACACCGGCCTCAGTACACTGAAGGTAAGGTATTTCATTTTTAATCTCTTATACAGCAGTAGAGCAGTTTTTGACTCAATCATGTGCTACACTTTATTTACAATTTCAAATAATTTCTTGCGGATGAAGTATACATGTAGCCACTGTATTTCTTTTCTTTTTTCACAGATCTAAGAAAACACTTCACACCCTACAACCCCTAAAAATGTATGTTGCTACCTTAAATGTTTTCAATATTTCTTATTATATTTAATAATAATATTTAAAATAAACCATGTCATTGACTTCTTTATTGACACTTTGACAAACATATTTGTACTGTAATTTTTGAATGTCTTTAAACTTGTTTTTCTTTTTTTAACTTTTTTTTTCTAGAACCCAGATTTGACAGCAGTGCACACCCATCTGAGGCCGATTATTACTAGTACTTTTAATATTATATTTAAAGCTTCACATACCGAAAAAAATGACATAAATTGTATTATAAATAAATAAACAAATTTATTATTATTCATTATTATTGATTACATTATTATTGTTAACTTCTCACCCTTAGTTACAAACGACGGATGGCCACGAGCGTGAGGTCCAACTGTGACGGCCGCATGCTGGAGGTCATCCACCATGCTGTTGGCTCCCAGAGCATCCCATGCTGCGGTCCAAAGTTCCTAAAACACACAAAAAACAGACATCTTTGATACCCAAACTGCAGCTTCTGTCTGTTAATTTCAGAGAAGACAACCACAAGGTATAGTTGATGAGACCATTATTTTGCTGTCTTTCTTCCACCTCCTGTCCAACTGTTACAGTGATGAATGTTTCTTGGTCCCAAATCACAATATAATACACAGTAGAGCAATCCAGTGCTGATAAATGAATCCTTTTGCATTTGGAGCGGCATTTGTTTGCTCTCACTTTCCTTTAATCTCAGTGGTAATATTTGCAATACAGGAACAGCTGAATTAGCTGTCAGGTGTCCTTTGTGCCAAACCTCTTCCTAAGAAAATAATAATTCTGTTATGAAACTATTATCACTGAAACCCCTCCAGACACATATGAAAGCTGGGTATGATGATGCTGTGCCTTGAACCAAGCCTGTCTGTGTGTGTAGGCTGTAGCACAAATGCTGGTTGACTACAGTAGCGACAGTGTATTTTTAGCTTCTCTGGAGGCAGAAAAATTTAAGAGAAGAGAGAGAGTTGATTTTTTGAGAGCAGCATGGCCCCTGTGTGTGTGTGTGTGTGTGTGTGTGTTTTCTGATATTAAGCAGAAATACAGGGTTAGGAGTGCATGTGGTTGAAAAACAACAGTATATCTACAACAAAAAAAAAAAGTTTAAGCAGCTTTTATATCAGTTATTAGTAGAAATAATATAATCAGTCATCATTAAGGTCTTCATATCATCCAGAAAGGGTTTATTTTGCAATAATGAAAGGCTGACTGTACATTATCCCACTTATTACATGACTACTTGGCAAATAAATACATGGACGTTAAATATTGATATGAGTGAAATTAATTTATCATGTGAGATGAGGCTTCATCTCTCCGGTGGCTGTGCGGCAAAAGAGCCTTAAACGATGTAATAGGCCTGTTTTACCAAAATAATGCTGCTCCCTGGAAATCACACAGGCAGTCTCTACACGCACAGACTAGGCACACTCTGTGTATATGCTGAATTTTTAATTCAGGGTTAGTGACCCAAGAAGACAAAAGGACAAGGACAAACGGACATGTCATCCACTGAATGGCTATGTACTGATCAAAGGAAGTTAAGCAAAAGGCACCATGAATAGGGAACAAAATAGGGTATAAAACTATTTTTTTTTTTAGTGAAAGGGGTGCTTAAAGTCTACAAATGGAAATTTCAAATAACAGATTTCAAAAATTACATTTCTGTTATCATTTACTCGCCATCATGAAATATTTAGAGAAATCTCTCTCTCTCTCTGTCTTTTTTTTTGTCCTTACAATGGAAAGTAAATGTGTGAACTGGTAACCAAATCAATGGTAATCAAAGAAGATTAGAAAGAAAGAAAGTCATACAGGTTGACACAAGGGTGAGTAAATGATGACAGAATTTTCATTTTTAAGTGAACTCTCCCTTTGACCTCCAGAAAAGGTCAAACTAAATATCAAAAGGGCTGATTATTTTCTATTCATTTTATATGTGATTACAAGTCTTGCAGCCGTATTACTTTACCCTGTTGCATTTTTGGCTATAACCCCGATGGTCACACTTTATTTTAAGGTCCAGTTCTCACTATTGATTTACTATAAATTATGACTTTTTCCTCAATTAAACTCCTAATTTGCTGCTTATTAATAGTTAGTAAATAGTTGTTAGTAGTTGTTAAGTTAATGTATGGGATAGCATTAAGGGATCTAAAATATGGTCATGCAAAATAAGCCATAATATGTGCTTTATAAGTACTAATAAACAGCCAATATGTTAGTAATATGAATGCTAGTTAATAGTGATAATTGGTTCTTAAAATAAAGTGTTACCCATTAAATAATATCAAACAAATGTAATTAGGGGTGTGCGATGTTGACAAAAAAATAAGATATCTTGATATTTTATCTAACAATAATTAGACGATATTTTGCTGAGAGTGTTATTGTGCTGACATCTTAAGGACTATCGTAGACAGTTGACTCCTAATGTTTTTGATATTCTTTATATTCTGTGTGGTGGTCAGTTCACAGCATTGATAGAAAGTAGCTAATCTTTTTTCAATGAGTAAGTTGATTTTTACCTTTTATGGGCATTTTGACCTTTTTAAAGCCATTTTTATTTTCTAAAAGTGTGGATCATCTTTTGAGTCAAATTCTTACATTTAATCTAGTCGGTTAGAATAAGACTTTTGGGCTTTTACCAGGCAAATGAAATCAGTATCAACAAAATATATCTTTGCAATGCAGAGGAAACACAGAAGCTGCATCTGAAGTGGCATTTAGATGTATTTACACACTGAGGGACATGGAATGATTTAACCTGCAGTTACAAATGCATAAATAAAGTTTGAAATGATTTTTAAAAAATGTTAAAAAATGAAAAGATACTTTAAATGTGAAATTAAAACCGCCAACAGGTGTCAGCAAGTCACTGTTAATAAGTGAGTCATTGCGATTGAACCGAATCATTTGACGGTTGCTTGAATTTTGTGTTGATTCAAAATGCATTTTAATAGACTGAATCACGCAGTAAAAGAACGCACTCAAAATGCGCACGCGCACTAGTCTAACCTACTAGACTTCACGTCACGTATGCGTGCACTCTGTAGGTGTGTTTTGTTTGGTTTTTGTAATATACTCGATAATGTCAAATCGCACATCGTTAAAACAGCAATTAGATATTATCGCAGACGATGTATATCGCACACCCCTAAATGTAATTATACACAAAATGTAGGCTATATAATGAAATAAAAAATGACAACAAAATGTATAACAGGATTGAAAGAAAGAGGGGTGCCCATTTAGTTTGAATTGAGCTGTGACTAGAGAAAGGCTAGCAAATTTTGGCAAAAAAAAAGGAAATGTAATTTATTATTATTATTATTATTATTATTATTATATATTTTTTACATGTCCTGCTGCAAATAATGTCCATATAATGTCACTTCTTGGGGGTGTTACAATCTTTAGGAATTTTTGTAATGGGGTGGAAATCAAAAAAAGATATGATTATTATGCATTTGGTCATTACAATTAGTTAATCATTAAAAATAATTTTACTATTTTATTTGACATTTAATATAATATTATTTCAAAGGATTATGGTATAACAAAAATGTTTATGGTTGTAATTGTTAGATACAGCTAAAGGGTAAAGACCTCTGAGGTAGGACCAGGAAAAATGGGAGGAGGGTAGGAGGAGCGATACAGAAATAAAAATAGCTACATTTTATGTTAGGTTGATTTTATGTCAGGTAATAGTTAAAACTATGTGGTATTTGCACCTACAAAATGCTTTAAAAGTCGTAGTTGTTGAAAGTGCCAGAAGAACAAGGTTAGAATGCCAAATAACGCAGTCTAAATCACACACATCATAATCAATCCCTGTATGACAGGGTGGCCTTGACAATGTTATGCATCAACCCACACTTAACCAGCTGTAAACAGAATGCCTGCATGTCAATAACTACCATCCCATTGTGATGAGAACCTTCCAAAATAGTTGTGGTCTCTCAGAGGTGCTAGAGTCACTCACCTCAGTCAACCTCACACTAAGTTTGTAAGCAGAAAAGCTGGCGCAGTGTCCATCACTTACAAGAGGATTTTGAGTTACATGGCCCAGGGATTTTTAATCTCAGTAATGAAAGATGGAGTTGATAAAGCAACTTTTCATGAATGCTGATATTTCTGCTGCGCCTGCTCTGAACAAGCTAATTGGAATGCACTCCCAGACCTGAGAGCATGGAATACAGCACAACGTATTAAAGCCCCGTCCAGCTCATTTTCTGTCCCTGCTTATATATTCACTCATTTCCTGACCGCTGCTCCCCGCTTTGTACGTGTCCCAGTAATGACTTAGAACGCTGCTAAGAAAGGTGGCCTGACAGGTCATTATTGATATTCACAGAGCCCATTTACCTGATGATCTCAGCAAAGATGAAGACTAAAAAGTGCAAGCTTGACACCAGTAGTAACTGTCCTCCAAATGAACAGATGAATATCTCCAGTGTTTTTCATAGTGAAAGGCGGTTTTGTATGATCTATCTATCTATCTATCTATCTATCTAGGGAATGAGCATTCCCTTGCACATTTCTACCTCCGGATGCCGTTTGCACTGTTATGGTCATTGGCCATATATAAACATATGCTATTTACGTACCTCACTGTATAATGCACCTTCTGTTTATACTCACTGTATAATACACCTTCTGTTTATACTTTCCTTGCACCCTATGTTGTATGTACAGTCATTTGCATTGAGCTGGTCTCTGCCCTCCTACCTCATAACTTGCACTATATGTCATAAAGCTTAATGTATATACACATAATCTATATTTATTTATATACTCTGTTATTTGCACTTCTGGTTAGATGCTAACTGCATTTCATTGGATCTGTACTTGTACTCTGCACGGTGACAATAGAGTTGAATCTAATCTAATCTAAAAATTATAGTAAAAGTGTAGTAACCATGTTTTTTTTAGCGCATTGATTAGGCTACCATTTGTATAACCACAGTTTTACTACAAATACCATGGTTAAACTATAGTTAGTGTAGGAAGACCATGGTTAAATGTGTGGTTACCATGGTTTAGCTATAGTAACCATGTTTATTTTTTTTATGGTTAATTTTCATAAGGTTCTCATCACAACAAGACTGCAATCACTTCCTGTTAATAAATGTAACCAGGTGGAAAAGGTTGACATGACAGTCTCAAGACTGGTTATCCAAGCCCTGGATTAAGTGTACTGCACATACGGTGTGTATTAATGCTGCTCTCATCCCTTGGTTAAATGTTACACTGGCCCTTTAAGAAACGTGACTGTGTGACTGTCTGGGAGAGGCAGAACACATAGATATACAAATGCCACTTAGTAAATCAGAAATTAAAGTTATCATTAAAGACAATATTCTGTCTGTCTGTCTCTCTGTCTGTCTATCTATCATGGTCTATAGTTTGGCAGTCTCTCTGTATATTTAATCAG